TTTTATTATGTCCAATTAAAAAACAGTTACAATTCATTTTTTTACATGAGCATTTTACACACTTCTTTATCCCTCATAATTGAACAGGCTGTTTTTGTTGCTCTGCCTTTAAGATAAGATGTATGTAAATTACGTATTTTCTGATTGGATGCCCTCTATTGTGCCTAATTTAAAAAGTAACCTGGGCTGAAACATTCTTTATAACTTCATGGTGAATGGGCGGGGCAAAACTGTTATACTGATATGCCAAGGTTTTTGACATCATAAAAACAATGAATTCAAAACCATTTAAGCCTTCATTGCTTCCTTCTAGGGCTCCATCCACAGGTGGGGTCTCATAGCTCCAGTACAAACTTTAGACAGCCAGTGTGTTTTGGCTGATAAGCTACATTTGTAGTAAGTGGAAAATTGTTAAATTTTGATGTTTGATGAGATCATTGCTTTAATTCCAGGCCAGATGGCACAGTTCAGTCTGAGTGTTTGAGTTACATAATGGCTGTGGCTACTATTGTGCCATTTATCATAACTTGATTAACTTAGTCAGAGTGTGCGCAGCCCACCTTCATCCATCTTAGCATATAAGTGAGCTCAAGGTTTACTTTAATCAGAATGAGAGATAGTGCAGTGCACTTAAAAGAAGATCGCTCACCCTCCTTTCCTCTCCTTCCCCTCTCTCTCTGTCATCCTTCGCTTACGGGTCCCCACCAGCCGACAGAGGGATGAGGGATGGGGCTGGATTAGGCCTTTCTAGGAGATAATTAGGAGTGAGAGAAAGGATGGAATGATTAGAGAGAAAGATAGAGGGACAAGAAGATGTACAGAGAGAAAGAGGGGAAGGGAAGAGCAGGGTAAAAGAGAATGATGGAATGAGGGGAGGGGTCATAGAAAGAGAGAGAGATTGGAGGGAACAGGGAGAAGGCCGAGGAGGGATTGGGGTAGAAAGACAGAGAAAGCAGGAGTTAGGAGGCAAATAGAGAGGATGTGGGAAAGAGTCAGAGAGAGAGAGAGAGAGTGATCTGTTTTGTAATGAGCTCTCCTGAGGGAGAATTAGTGTCTTGTGTTCTCTCTCCCTGAAGAGCTTAGTCTGTTGTATCCTTCCTCCACTTCCTCTGGCATTCCCTGCTTTGTCTCCTTTAGTCTAGTTGTGTATGTGTGTGTATGTTGTATGTGTGCCTTGGTAGTAGAGTCAAACCGATACTACGGTGTGCCATAAAATTAGGTGATTTTGGGAATGGGAATGGGAATTTCACATATTTTTCAAAATGTCTGTATGATTAAATTACTAAGATGCCAAGAGAGTCATTCAGAATGGTTTGATGAAAAATGCTCCATTCTAGAGAAACTTGCCAAGTTTTATTTGCAGTGATAGGAACCAGACGTCTGAAGAGTTTAATGACCGAAAAGCTGCCTCGGTGGAAGTTATTACAGAAAATGTTTATGAATATGTTGCTTGATGTCTGACACATTATTTTATGAAAGTTTAAAGATGAGCTTTTGGCTTAAAATGTATTTGTCAAAAAGTATTCATGACACAGAATACATGAAGGGTGTTCTAAGGTAAAATACTACCCAAAGAAAATGTGTATTCTTTTATATTTTTGCCATTATTTTATCATCAACATAAAACTCATTTACTGGTTGTTTTGGATAGTAAATAAATTGACTATTTTTGTGTTGTAGCCATCAAAACCTCTGGTTCTTTAGCAACGCTATAAAGAAATCTGAGGCGGTGAGCTACAATGAATCATTTCACATTAAACCACTCTGAATTAAAAAAAAAAGTTGTAGAATTCTCTCTCAAGATTCCACAGATTTACTGGGATCATTGAAAATCTTGCTAATACAGCATTGACATTGCTTGGAATGCATTCATTTCATTTTATAATGAACACACACCTGTACCATGAGGACATCTTTTCTGGGAATTTTCATGTTCTTATATGATGTTTTACAGAGACTGCTTAGTTAGCACTGGCCAGTTTCTCCTCCAGCAATACAAGCTTACCCTGTAAACTTGACAGCATCATACTTAAAGTAATGAAAACAAGTAATATGCATTCAAACATAAGTTTGAGCTTTAACATCCCTACATGTAGCAGTGCATTCTTATCAAAAAGGGTTCTTGATAGCACCAAAAGAAGGTTTTAGGATTTTTAGCAATAGCGGAATGCTTTTTGGTGCGATACAGCACCACTTTTTAAGAGGTTCTTTTCAAGAACCATATAAAACATGTTTTCCATCATACAGAATTTAACCTTGCAAAGAATTTAGCATTTATCCTTGCAAAGAGTTCCTCCTATCATTCAAATGGTTATTTGATTTGGTTTTCTGTTGTCACAGTTCTATATGACCATTGCCTTTACTAAAAAACGCTGAATGAAACGCTGAATGAATGACAACTGCGATTAACTTTGATACATTCTGCCTCTGTGCTACATATTTTATATTTTATAGGCTTTGAATTTCTGCTGTTTTTATTTGAGTTAAAGAAATGTAACAGTCATATCTGCCATTTCACAGGTGACAATGAAATCAGTCAGTTTAGTTGTTTTTTTTTTTTGAGTCTGTTTAAATTTTTTGTACTGTATAAAATTCTATCAGCCAATGCTGAAACTTATTAGAATTTTTAGCTAAAAACTGGTATCTGTAGCAAAAATGTAATATCCGTCATGCCCTGGAAGTCATCTTACAGGCAGTGGCCTGTCTGTATCACTCAGACTGGCCCTCGCATTGGAATCTTATAAAAGTCCACCATCAGTCCTGGCCTTCTCATAGTCCTTGTCATCTTACAGAGTGGGAGAGAGGATTTTTCTTTATCTCTGCACCAAGATGATTATCCACTATTGGGTAGCTCAAGGCAACTTTACCTGGAAACAAGCCAGATGTTTCAGGTGTAGGTGGATTTAAGGTATGATCCTGTCCACAATCCAAGACCAAAAGTTTAATTGAAAATCTCTTTCCAAGTTTGAGTTCATGTAAATATTCTTAGATTTGGGTTCAGAGTAGGGGCCTTAGCAATGAGGCTAAGCAATACGGTCCGCATACTGTTTAAAAAAAAAAACAACTACATCCACCTAACTGTTGCCTTTAGTAGTCGCTAATTAACCAAATGAGGTGTGTTTGTTTTGTGATGGATGTGAAATATGCAAGGTAGATCTTCAGGAGAAGGGTTAGTGACTACTGTTTTATACCCTCCTTATTTTAAGCACTGATTAACAACATTAAGCCAATTGATTGTTTACAAAATGATAAAATATTTTGACACAACTCTCAACTCTTGCTTAGTAGCTGTCTCTAAGCACCACTTTCTTTATCAAGTAAGGAAAAACCCAGAAAAATCTACTGAAAACAAACCTGCAGTAAGGATGGCAGTGACAGTAAATTAGTCATTATAAGGCTAAGAGATGTAAAAAGTTGAGGACCCTTTAATTCAAATACACACTCATTTTAATGATGTCTAACAATAAATAATGTCACAGAACAAGGTTAAGGATCTGAAGAAACAGTCTTTGTCTCAAAGCCCCCTCTTCTAAAATGAAAGCCTGCTGTGTGAAGGTCCAGTGGCTGAAAGATTTCCCTGGTTTCATTCATGTTAATATGGTTTTCATGATCATTTTTGCCTTAAACTGGCTTACATTCATATTTTCAGATGTATGTTAGCATTGAAATGATCATAAATCCAGTGCATTTTTCAAATAATATATTTGTTTTAAATGTTTTTTTCCTCTTCATGTTACTCAAATTTAGTGTGTTAGCAGAACTGCTATGGATGCAACGGACTCCACACCCTCTTATGCACTCTCCATATTTTGTCCCTGCCATAGTGTTTAATACTCAAACTTGTCTACCAGCTGCCAGTGGTTCAGGGACAGATTGATTAATGTACACTAGTATCTGACACTCACTCACATGGACACACACAAGCTGAACCTCACTAATGACAAGGCATGAAAAGCACCATATATTTAATTTGAGACTGGAATAAGACTGGAATGTGACTGGGTTTTTCTTCCAGCTCATGAATAATTTTCTGCTCAAGAACAGCTGTTTTTGAAATCATTGGAATGAAGTGTGCAGTTTTCTGTTTTTAGTCAAATGCTTCAATAACCATATGTGTATAGGACCTCACGCTGAAGCCTCAGAAAATAGCAGACACATGTACCATTTCATAGGCTGAAAGGAAAAAATAGGAAATAGTGATATATTGGGGGCTTTATTTGTCACAAAAATCTCAGTGGTTCTTTCTCAAATAAACAAAATAGCTATGAGCAGGAAATTGAATGCTCCATTTTAGTAAGACAAATCCACTTAATTTGGACCCGCTTCGGACAAAAAGGCAGCTGTGGTCAATAAGCCCCTATGGTGACTCCCCCCAGTGGCTTGTTTTGAACAAGTTGCACTCAAACATTCTTAGTGCAATGAGTCAGCCCACAGGCCTGTTCCACAGGTCGCCTTGGCGGTAAATGGCCGGCCGTTTGGAGAGGGTCTGAGATCGATGGCCCACGCTGTTCTGGCTCGATGAGCATTAGCCTCCTTTTGTGAGTAAGAGGTGGTCACCCCTGGATATGCTGATTTCTTTGTTATGGTAAATGGGCCGAGTGCAGTTGGCCCAGGATGTGAAAGCCTAATACAACTTGCATGTTCTGCCAATCTTTTTGATTACTGTGCTGTTTTCTAGTGCTACAATGTGTCTCTATAAGGTTTAGCCCACACAGACACTGTGGCCTAAACACTCAGTTTTTGTTCACCGTTTCATGGCTTGTCAGAACATTGTTTTTAGATTTTCTACCATATAAATTTTTTTTTTGTTTGTTTTTTTCGTTTGTGGAAAGTAAAAGTAATGAAATTTCTACTACATTAAAGCTTTTTGGATGTGGTTTCTCAACAATGCACCAAAAAAGAATAAACAAAACACAAGCACTATTAACATGTCCACCACTGCCAGTTTAATGTTTAATAATGTATTTACTAAGAAATGTGTATTTTTGTGTGTTTTGCAGAAAACAAGGACTATGATGCATACCTGTCTTACACTAAGGTGGACCCAGACCAGTGGAGCCAGGAGACCAGAGAGGAGGAACGCTTTGCTCTGGAGATTCTCCCGGATGTTCTGGAGAAACATTATGGGTATAAACTCTGCATCCCTGACAGGGATTTGATCCCTACTGGAAGTAAGTTCACCTGGGCGTAGAGACTGTGCATGTCTTTCTGTCTGTCTGTCTGTCTGTCTGTCTGTGTGTCTGTATATGTTTGCTTATATACTGAGTTGCCAGTTTATTATAAGCCCCTATGATATGTGCCTGTACATCTCTTATCCTCATCCATAAATGGAAAGGGACCCCAATAGGACCACCGGTATTATTTGGCAGGTGGACCAGCAGTGACACCCACATGGTAGTGGCATGTTAGTGCAAGTTGCGCTGGTACAAATGTGTCAAGCACAGCAGTGTTACTGCAGTTTTTCACAATGTGTACACTTACTGGCCAGCTACCGTGTTAGTACACTATTTGTATTAGTCATCCTCTGGCCTTAATTCAGTGATCAGCCTCTAACCATAGGTCCACTGTCGGCTGGATTTTTTGTGTTCGGCAGTCTATTCTCAAGCCAGGATTGAAGCGTGTAAAACCCCAGCAATGCTGCTGCACCTGAAAAATTCCAGCACTCCTTTCACACAATACCATGCTGTGCTGAGAATGCTACACCACATGGGGGTTCCCAAACTTTTTCATGCCCAAACCCACATGTAGAGATGTTTAAAAGTGTTAAAGTGTTAAAGTGTTTGTCCTTCAACCTGCCAAATCAGCATGAAAGCATGAGATAGAATGAAACATGCATAGGCTTATATTGGTGAAACTGGTGATTTAGAAAAATAATAACATATCACAGTTTATTCTTTGTTTAGATGTATTCCATTCAGCTCTAACATTTGTTATAAACACATTAATACATTTCATTAATATTTAGTTGGACATTACATGTCTAGATTTGTTGTTATCCATGTTCTCAGCTAGTTTAGAAAGTTAGCCAGTCTGTACTCTGATCACTGTTGCAGAAAAAAAAAACAGCAACTGTGGATCCTTACTGTTGTTGTTCATGTGACAATAGATAACTGCATTTAAAATCCGCTTCGAGAGCATCAGTGGTGCTGCACGATGCAGAAACAGTGTGATTCAGATCTGAACTATGCATCCCCACATCAACACACAGTTTTAAACTACTGACCTAAATAATCTCTTGTCAGCTCTGGTCCTTTAGTGATCCCTTTCCATTGATGGTGTCCCTGACATTGTGCACAACAGCAGATGCCTTCAGTCAGTAATAGTGTACCTCCAAAGTGCATCTATATGGTAAGTGTGCCTGATAAAATGGCCAATGAGTGGCGCTACAAGGTAATAAACAAGCAACTGTATGTGTGTGTTTGAGGGCATGAATGTGTCTTTGTGTATTTCTATGTGTACGTTTGTTTGTGTATGTTTTTATTTATACACATATGTATGTATGACCCTGTCTTTTGTCTTCTTGTACACGTGTCTCTCGTTTACATATTCATTTTGTCCCATGTGTCATGTTGATTGTATGTGGTGCACTAACCCCAGCCTCAGCCATTGTGCCAAACCTGATTATAATTTCAAATTTGGAGCAGGTTATATAAACATACACTCGGCACACCTCACCTGCTGGAGGATCTCATTAGAATTTCACAATTCTTCCATTGCACCACCTGCTTTCATTAATGCCAGTCAGCTATCAGCATTAAAACTGCCTCTGTGTGTCCAAAAGACGGCCAGCCGAGCGCTGAATAGCAGTCATCTCTCTCATCACCACCACTCAGTGCCTGTATTTGCAAATACTGCACTGCTGTTTTGGTCCTTTTACAAGATTATGTACCCACTGAAGTTAAAAGAGCTGTGTTTATTTGAGATAATCACTGCTATAGTACTGCAGTTTGTTTTGTTTGTGTCATGCTTTGCTTCCTACGGTTTCCTCCATCTTGCCCTCTTTGCTTTAAAATCCCTTTGTCACTGTTTGTGTGCTGTGTATTTACTCACAGGGGACTGTTTGTTTTTAATGTGGGACAAACGGCACACACAGGGCTAAAAAACTCTGTCTGACACCCCAGCCCTCACGCACTTACTTTATTTCACGGTGAATGTGTTTGTTTTTCAGCGTTCTCAAAGTTAAAGCCTGAATCTGAATGTTTTTACAGCCAAATTACATGGAACTTAGTCTATGTTTGCTTAGTAGGACATGTAAATAAAAAGTAAACTCCTAGATGAATAATGTGCATTGTAAAATGAACATTGTAAAAAACATCTTGTTTTCTTTTTTCATATGGGTCGTATCTGGTATAAGGAAAGTCCTGCTGTCAAAACATTAGGCCATGTTTTTCATGCACAGATTAAACCTACACTTTTAAAATACATGTAACTAAATGATTTTTGCCTTGGATGTATGGTGCTGAACAAAGAGACATTGTCACTGATATGAAGCGCTACTCTTACTAAGCACCGATAACTACATGAGTGCTAATAGTGCCCCTTGTGGAGAATTATCAGCCTGCTAAATGTGAGTGAGTGAGTGAGTGAGTGAGTGAGTGAGTGAGTGAGTAAAAGAATTAGTGCTTAATTAGTCAGTTAGATAGTTATGAGTTCCATGAGGTGCTTCACATCTAAAAATGTTCTTTACATTCAATTATCTCATTTACGAAAAAACATTTTTGGTTCCTAATGAGGTTCTGAATTCACTCAGAGCTTTTTTATGGAACCAAAAATGGTTCATCTTTTGCATTGCTGGAAAAAGCCCCTTTCTGACACCTTTATTTTTAAGAGGGTAGCCTGAAATACATTGCCAGTGGGAAATCTCTGTTGGAAATCCTTTTTAGTCAAGGTCTCAATTTAATCTGTGTGTGAAAAAAGTCCTATATGTTGTATTTCAAACTGGCTTAAGGATGCAACCGTAAAAAACGTTTCAGACATACATAAGCCCTTCAAAAAGTAACTTCCAAGCTTTGTTAGCCCTGTAGTGCCGAGTCACATATTAAACTGGGATAAACTGGTTGTTTTTGAACTCAACAGCAAATCAGCAAGGGCTAAAGATGAATCACCAGCCAGACAAATAGAATGGTTCATGCCAGTTTCTCTTTTATGGAAGTCCCTGCACTATTGTACTGATGAGTTGCTGCTGAATCTTCTGATCACGCTTTGAATGTTGAAATATTTATGTTTAGGTTTCACCAATGATCATTTCCAGGATGACACGAGACTCCTTAGAGGTACTCTTCCCCAGCTTTCACCACTTGTGTCAGCTATCGTACTGTACGCCTTTTCTGAAACTTGTGGTCTGGGGTGTTGCTGGGAGGGAGAGGTATGTGGCTTGGCATTTGCGTCTAAAAGGGGACGTGTGAGGGGCTCTGTAGCAGCTCCAGGGCCGAGACGATAAAGCAGCCATTGGCTCAGGCTGTTCTCATGGGGTTTGCTTTGTGATCTTGGTAAGCCTGGTATCAGACAAACCTAGATGCCGTAGGCCACAGACAGCGAAGAGAACAGAGTGTGAATGCACTTTTACTGAAAAGGAGGACTGGGAGGTGAATAAAGAAAGAAAAGAGATAGAAACGACAGAAAGGATAGCACTGGAAATTTAGCATGACATTCTGGGCCAGATGTACCTATGTGAGAAGGTGCAGTACGTAATATGCTGGGGTGTGGCGCAATATGAACTATGCATCATGTCTGAAATTCATGTTCAGTTTACTAAAGCTGAAGCTACTCGCACAGACTGCATGTAGGACCACCTATTAATTGTACTATGCTTTTGATGCCCAAGGTTTGAAGGGCACAGTGAAACAGTGGCAATAAACAAGTTCAGTGACAAATGGTGTTAAAGTAGTTCTTTTGTAGCAACATATTTCACAGAGGTGTAATTCTACCTACACTTGAAAATCAGAATTTGGGAAACAATAATACAGAAAGTCAGTGTCATAACGGTCAATAGACTCCCATAGTTCCCATAGTTTGAATAGTGTTATTCTAATGAAATAGTGTTATTCTTTTGGAATATATTCATTCAGCACTTGTGTGTCACTATCTAACCATTATCACTTTTAGTTGTTAAAGTCTTCTAGTATTACACCTTTGAGACTCTACCACTAACCCCTACTTGATTTTAAGAACAAAAACTGCCTGCCAAAAAAGTAGTAAATAAAACAGAATATGTAATCAGCCACACGTCCAGTATTCCACCCATTTCTTGCCTGATCCTCTCATATTTTACATGAAATATATGCATTTGAGGGAGATAATCATGTACTTTCAATGGCCAAAAGTATGTGGACACCCCTTCTAATTAGAGGGTTTGGATATTTGGCTGTAGCTGCCTTGGTCAACTAAAGTGGAAAAGTCTAGGAACAACAACTGCTCTGCTGTGAAGCAGCAATCCACATAAGCTCACCGAACAGAAGTGCTGAAGTGTGTAGCACTGAAAATCGTCTGTCTTCAGTTGCGCCATCACTACAGAATTCTACGCTGCCTCTGAAAGCAACGTCAGCACAAGCTGCAGGTTGAAAGCTTTGTGGGAGTCATGCCTTTAGAGGAGGAGAATACTTTCTGCCCAAATGCGTTACAGCAGTTATTAGGTTTGGTGGAGGAGGAATCATGGTCTGAGTCTGTTTTTCATTGTTTGGGCTGGGTGCCTTAGTTCCAGTGCCAGGAAATGTTAATGCTACAGCATACAATTATATGTTAGAGGATTTTGTCTGAACCAACATTTTCAGGAAGGCCCTGCTGAGTTTGATATGGAAGAACTTGACTGGCCTGCACAGAGCCCTGACCTCAACCCCATCAAACACCCTTCAAACAGGCTTTGTGATTAATTGGTGAACGTCAGTGGCCACTCTTGCGGCTCAATAGATGCAGACATTTTCCAAAATCTAGTGAAAACCCATCCCAGATGACTAGCGCCTGTCATAGCAGCAGGGGAGGGAAACTCTATGTTCTGGAATTTGTGTTCAAACACATATGGATGTGATGTTTGTGTGTCCACATACTTTTGACTGTGTAGAATATGTCAGAGTTTAGGTTTATACACTAGTTTTCCTATGTGGTAGCTTTTCCAGGCAGTAACAGTGCTATGTGCCCTTGAAACTTGTTGCAAAAGGCACAGTACATCTGGCCTCTGTCAGTGTTACCTTTGGTGTAGTTTCTGCTTTAATGTGTTATGCTTCTCTCTAAGATTTTGATTACTGAATTACCAATAACTGAGACAGTAAGGACTGTTAAGTATAGAGTAGCTATTTAAAAGGCACAGTTTTGTTTTCCAGTATCAGGACATTCACAAGTGATCTAAAGACAGTTATTATTTTTTAGAAATGCAGGCGGCATAGCAGAAGGACACCCAAAGGGAAGCAAATAGTTATGCTTTGTAGTCATATTCTCCCTTTTAAAGGTTGATAGTGAGGTGCGGCGTTTGTTTTGCATTTAAAAGTGCTGTTGTCGTTACTGATTAAGGCAAAAAATTGTGTCTTTGGATGTGCTTCAGCTGGCTCAAGCTCGTAGCTTTTGTTGAGCAGTTTAATCGGCGCAAAACAGTAGAGCGTGTTAAAGAAGGGTTTTAGAGATTGCCAGCGCTTCTGTTTTTGTTTGATGTTATGTTTTGTGTCCTGTGTTCTTCCCCATTCTGTTTGTTTTCCAGTTTCACTTTTCCTGTTTTTCTGTTGAAACTATGTCTCAGATTAACACATTTGAATTCTTTCAAATGCTTAAAATGTACCTGACACAGTGTGGTAGTCTATTCTGGACACTTTTCAGTTTTCAAATGAGACACCACAATAAATAGTCAGCATGTAACTAAATTTGTATATTTAATTATGTATTTATGTCACATTCTTACCTTATTTATGTAATTAATGTATGAAAATGTTATGTAAATACATATATTCATAATAGTTTTGTGAATTGAGAAATTCAAATTGATATCTTTCTCAATTTCCTTTCTTCTTTTTGCCATCTTTCTCTCCTCTCTCCCTCTCTCTGTTCCTCTCACTCTCTTTCTCCTGTCTCCTCTATCTCTTTTCATCCTCTTTTCTCTCTTTCTGTCCCTTCTTCTTTTTCCCCACTTTTTTGCTCTCCCTCGCTCTTTCTCTCTTCTTTCTTACTGTTTTTCTTCTCTTTCTCGCTCACTCTCTTCCATCTCTCTTCTTTCTCTTTTCTTTGTATTTGTCTCTCCTTTTCTCTCTCCCTCTTTCTCTCTACCAATCTCTTTTTTCTCTCTCCCTCTCTCTTTCTTCTTTCTCCTTCTCCTTTTCTCTCTTCTTTTTCTCTCTCCTGTCTTTTTATTTATCTTCTTTCTCTTTCTTTCCCTCCTTCTCTATTCATGCTCTTCTCTCTCTCTTTTCCTGTTTATTTCTCTGTTCCTCCCTCGTTTTCTCTCTCCCATCTCTTACCTTACTTTTTTCTGTTTCTCCTTCTCTCTTTCCTTCCTTCTTGCTCTTCTCTGTCTCTCTTCCATCTCTTTTCCTTTTTTTTTCTCTTTCTGTCTTCTATCTTCTTTCTTTCCACGCCACTCTCTCTCTCTCAGCGTACATAGAAGATGTGGCTCGCTGCGTGGACCAGAGCAAGCGGCTGATCATCGTCATGACACCCAACTACGTCGTGCGTCGGGGCTGGAGTATCTTCGAACTGGAGACACGCCTGCGCAACATGCTGGTGAGCGGCGAGATCAAGGTGATCTTGATCGAGTGCGCTGAGCTGCGCGGCATCATGAACTACCAGGAAGTGGAGGCACTGAAGCACACCATCAAGCTGCTGACCGTCATCAAGTGGCCCGGGCCCAAGAGCAGCAAGCTCGACTCCAAGTTCTGGAAGCGGTTGCAGTATGAGATGCCCTTCAAGCGGCCCGAGCGCGTGCTGTCCCACGAGCAGGTGCTGGACGTGAGCGAGCAGGGCCCGTTCGGCGAGCTGCAGACCGTCTCGGCTATCTCCATGGCAGCGGCGACCTCCACGGCCATGGCCACGGCGCATCCTGAGCTGCGCTCCACCTTCCACAACAGCTACCACACCTCACTTAGACAGAAACACTACTACCGCAGCTATGAGTACGATGTCCCGTCATCCGGAACCCTTCCACCCCTGACCTCTCTGGGCAATCAGCACACCTACTGCAACATCCCCATGACTCTCTTGAATGGCCAGCGGCCACAGGGCAAAGGACAGCGGGCCGAGCAGCAGCAGCAGCAGCTGGAGGAGCAACACGCGAACAACGCCATGCTGCCGCTGTTGCCCCGGGAGACCAGCATCTCCAGTGTCATCTGGTGACGCCATCTTCCGACGAGGGGAAGGAACTGGTTTTTAATTGCCATTTGCTGAAGCCCTGGCGATGGAAGAGAACGGGAAGAACAAACACTAAAGAAGAGTCAAAACAAACGTCGACTGCTGCTGTCGAATTTGCACCCCAACTCACAGGGATTCAAAAACTGTGGAGTTCAGAACACACCCAGAAACCCTGAATCAGAACACATTTTCATTAAGCGGAGTGGGTGCAAAAGCCTATGAGAACTCTGAGAACCCATTGCGTTTCACACCTGCACACTTTTCACATCCACACACACATGCAGACACACACAAAAACACACATGTCGCACTCACTCTGACACTTGCTAGGAATACAGGGTCTTGTACATATATTTGAGATTTCTTTGTAGCATTGGTATTTTTTCAGTTACGGTCTATTTTTGTGTTCTTTTACTTGTTTTTATCATCCAAATTTTTATATCTAATTTGATTTCTTTTTTATTTTTTCCTTATGAAATATGAAATAACTGAAGAGAGCTCTGTAAGGTATAAAGACTGATGTGTTGTATTTTTCTCTTGACTTGTAGTTTGCAAATGTAGTTTGAAACAATTTCTTTCTTTTTTTTTTTTGTTTTTCTTTTTAAGGTTATGGGATTTGTGGCATTGTGATGTTTTCTTTGAGAGAGCACCAGTTTTTGGTTGTTGTAGTTTTTTGTTAGTTTTGGTGAATGAACAGTGGGTATCTCTCAACTTTTAAGAGGACTATAGAACAAAACTCGATTATGCAAAAGGTGCAGAGGCCTGGGAGCAAATCCTCTTCCTGAACGAACGACCAAGCAGAAGACACCAGAGAGGAAACAAAACACCTCACGACGATCTAGTGTCTCTGCTCTCTCTCTCTCTCTCTCTCTCTCTCTCTCTGTTTCTCTCTCTCTCTCTCTTGCTCCTTAGCTCTCTCTTGCTTTCTCTCTCATGAAATATCGATACTTTCTATTAAAAAAAAACAACAGCTTTGCTGTTTAGCTTGATAGTGAAAGATTTCATCATAAGAAAAAAATCTGTATATTATTTTAAAAGAAAGAAGTATATTTTTGTAACAAAAGAATTTGCTTGGAAAGACATACTTAGTCACATTTCATTCCACTAATGAGAGGTGTAGAGTGAGTTCTTTGCATAATATCCTACCTTTAATTTGAAAGGAAAAAAAAACACAAACGTATTTTTAATGTTTCTGTCAAAGTCTTAAATCATGGTTGGGCAAAGGGGAAAGAGTATATTTGTGTTTTTAGGACTATCTTACCCATGATGACGGTGTCATTTCTGAGTGTGCATAGCAACTAGATATGTATTCAATTTATAATATAAATATCTATATATATATATATATTTACAGACATTTCACAACTGACAAAAAGTGCTTATCATCAAACCAAACCCATAACTTGGAATAATTGCATCAAATTTGTTTTTTCACTACATATTAAAACCTGTTAACCTCCTCTTTAGTGCCTCCCTGCTGTCCCATGACAAAGCGCCACCTATCTGTTTGGAGTGGCACTGCATCAGATATGCACTCACTTCCTGCGTATGCCAACTTACTGCCATGCCATCTCTTTGGTTCTAGGCCTCATCTTTGGTGTGGAATATAAGCTGATTTTATGGATCTGAGATGAACTGGGTACATTTTTACCTCATGACATGAAGTGGCAAGGTTTAGGCTGTGGGCCTGTGGTTCAGTAGCAGCTTCTCTCTAATGTCTAGTCTAGTCCACATAAGAATACTGAAAAAGCCTCATCTCAATTTGGACATGAAAACCAGAGGCAAACATCACTTTTGGTTAGCAGTTGGTCTGATGTTAAGGAAACCTAGGTGGAGCTTTAGTGCTGATGTAGGATCCAGCTTATGCCATCAACATCCTCATCTTTACCATTTACAGGAGTAATGCAAAGCTGCTCTTGAATCAGCATCCAAAAGCAACCTCCACCATTATCACAAAGAGCCTCATTAAAACTTAGACTGAGGCTTTGTGTCTGTCAGCCATAGACCTAAATGGCATTATTGTGGCGACTGCAACTCTGCTGTCAGTTCAAAGAGGCAAAACCAAAGCTGGCATTTTGTGATTGTTACTTTTTTTTTCTTTGTTTTTTCTTTTGTTTTTGCATTTTTTAAACAGTCCAATATGTACAGGGCAGCAGGATAGAAATTATGTGATGAAAGGCAGCACTTTTATTATTTTTTTTCTTTCTTCAAAACAAAAGGCGATAATTCCCTGGTTAAGAAAGAGGTTGAAGTCCCATCCAGAACTACATCATTTTATATAACAACATTGATCATGATCCAGTATTTGTTACTCTTATCAATGGTGCCAAAAGAGCTGATTAAGTCATAAAAGAACAGATGATATGCAAAACTATGTAAATTAGGGAAATGGTGTGGGAGACAGGGTTACGTCAATCTTCTGATCATAAAACTGACATTTGATTCCTCAAATGACTCCATTAAACTCTTCACCTTTGCCGGATCTGTCTTGGGTATTTTCTACTGGAGCTTGACTTCTCAGAGTCACTGCTGTTCCAGATAAGTCACATGTTCTCAATTGCTGGCAGAAATGTACAGCAAAAGGCTGTTGGATTTAAGAGTTCACTGATCAGATTCTTTTCATTTGTTTTGTTGACACTTTTCTTTGTCTTTTTGTTTCTTGTAACATTGTGTATATATCAAAAAAAAATATTGAAACGGTAATAAGATGAAGACAATCTAGCCACATTCATAAAGTACCAATGTTGCGTTTTTTCCAAGTCAGTGACAAGTTGTTTCATGAACATTGATGATAAGAGTGATCAAAATGGATGAGGATAATGATAATGGTGACAATAATAATAATATATAGCACAGATTTATCCCTGGCACTTTCACAACTCTGACACTAAAGATTAAGGTTCTGTTTGTCTTCTGTTTTGGATTTTTCTCTTTTTTATTCAGTACCTGCAATGTTAATTGAAGAGATACTATTATTAATAATAATAAAATACACATTTATTAATTGTTCTTTACACCTTCTTAATTAATTATCCAGTAATGTTTACTCTGTGTCATTTAGGGTACAGAATGAATGTATGAGTGAATGAATGTATGATTTTTTTCTCAGTCAAAGCAGGAATCAGAAGAAGTAAACTATAAAAAGGTTTTATTAACTGTTAAAATTAAATAATTATACACTAATGACCTTTTTTCACCAGGCAGTGTGGTGCAGTAAGGTACAGTTAAAAATCATGCATTTGTTGCCATTTCCACTGCAATGTAAACCGTATATGAGTACATGTGCTAAATTTGGTAACTCTTCTTGCCGAGTGTGCTGAGCCAGAATGTATGGGTGGAGCTAGAAATAGTGTGGCCCATTGATTGGATGCTCATAACAGCATTGTCACACGGTGTCAAAAAAAAATAGCTACCCCGAATTGCTGTCTATTGCTTTCACATAACACTAAACGGCAAGTTAAAGGTAAATCAGAACTGGAAGCTCCTTGCTACTGTTGTTTGTGCTTACTGTTCAAGCAGCTAAGAACTCCTCTTATATTTATGGTTCTTTTATGCGGTGAGAACCAACCAAGGTATGGATAGTGCTGGGTTCGGATTTGTAACTGTACCATACTGCCGGGAGAAATAAACACCAGAAGTTGCCATTTACAAGGTACATTTACCTTGTATCTGCCATCATTAGCCATGTTATTATGTAGTGATAATATATTGTGGTTTACAGCTGCTGACTTTATGAGCCCCCTCTACGCTGATCATCAGTGGAAAGGGATCACTGTAAGACCACTGCTGACCAGATTTTTTGGCAGTGGACCTATTCTTAGCACATTCTACTCTTATTCATTCACAGCAGTGACACTCACATGATTGAGGCCTGTTGGTCTGTGTAACCTCTTAAAAAGCCTACTTTTTACTACTTAAAAATAATTTAATGCTTTGGCATTGTTCACTGCACATTGCGCTTGTGGTCAGAAACTGCTCTGTGTGTCTGATAGAGCAACAGATGGCCACAGTCTGCAACTTTAAGCCTATATAGTGCATCTATAGCTGTATGCAAAAGTTTGGGCACCCTGGTCAAATTGTGTCTTGCTGATTTTTCCAAGTGAAAATAAGTGCACTTCCTCTACACAGAGAACACACTTCTGCACATTACTGTTTATTGGCTGAATTTAACATATTGGGAAAATATTAAAACGTTTTCCATGCAAAAGTTATAGCACTTTTCATGTTATGTTAATTTTTTTTTTCCAATATGTTGAACTCATTTGCAGAAAAATGCCATATTTAAGAGGAGATGAGTTAACTTATTTTTACTTAGAAAATCAGAAAACATGTAATTTGAAAACAAGTGTTTGAACTTGTGCATACAGCTGTATATGGTAGGAGTATCTGATAAAATGGTGAATGAGTGTAGCTAAAAGCCTAATGAAATGGCAACTCAGTGTACATATTGATGAAGTACTAAATGAGCCTTGCCTTAAGTTGTATGGAAGGCTTCTTGCAAGTCTGCAGTGTTTCCCCCACCAGCAGTGTGTGAAACTGACAGAGCAAAACAGGAAAACAGAGCGTTAGCTGTGTTTACCTGCTCATTACTCGTTTTCTGCAGAGAAAGAAGGGCGGAAAAAAGGCGCGTTGACTGTCATGTTGCGCTGTAGCCATAACCCCCCTAACCCCCCACCCCCCACCCACCCCCGTAACCATGAGAACCATGTCAACCTCCCTCCTGATGAGAGCAAAAAATGAGCCAGAAGAATGTGTGTGTGTGTTTTTTTATTGTTTTTGGAGGAAAGATTTGAAAATCTGGGCAGAGGAGAGGAGAACGACAAGATAAAAAGAACACAATGACATTCATGAATAAATAAAGGTCTGCACTTGTTTCTCCTTATAAAGCCACCCCTCCTTCCACACATACACACACACACATACGCATAACCGGCTCCAGTGCACACAGGCTCTCCATTTTAATTGGCTGACTTGGGCAAGTGCTGACCAAAAGGCAAGCCTTCATTTCAGGTCTAATTAAGATAATTGTGTTTGGGCTCCAATGCTGATCACTGCCTGGAGACCGTTAAGCCAATAGTGGCTCTGTTAATTCCCTGATGGGACACACAAATCAGTTAGCCTGCAGAGGCTCGCGAGCTAGCTTAGGCAGACACACAGCCAGCCTGTAGCTGTCTGTCCGCTGGTGTGGGCATCAATCTCTCATTTCAGAGAGGCTTGAGGCATTTCTGATGCCAGTAGAACTACTCTGAGAGCTGCAGCTGGAGTTTTCCAGATTTATAACAGCACACTCTCTGGATGATAACTGCATTTTTTATTTCTATATATATTTTTTTACTTTTGGCAAAAAATGCAATGTATGATTTATGATTAAGAATATGTGTTATGCTGCACAAGCTGCATTATTCGTGTGTACAGACAATGTGTGTATGCATTTTGCGAGGCAGAACTTGGTGGTGAATTGCTGACAAGTCTTAGACTCACCCCCTCCACCTCTCTCTCTACTTCGCTCTCATCACAGCCTATAACTCACAGCCTTGCTGTAAAATCGGGATTCAGCAATCAATAGGATTCTTCATTCTGCTCTGCTTCTCTAGACCTGAGCCACTGAATCACACACCACACACACTCACACACATACAGCCTCAGGTGAGTCAATATACGCTGCAAATAAGTACTCTCACTTTATACATCCACTCAGGCCTCTACAGCTTTTCCCTCTAGCCATCATGAGTTCCTCACTGGCATCTAGATGGAGTGTGTTTGGCTGTGGAATCGAACGGGTTGGAATATGATTTTATCCCACTGGATGTAAAATATCTGAGCAACAGTCAAGGAGTCCAATGTCCATCCATTATATTTTTAGCCAGACCATGTTAGATGGAAATAACACTCATTTCAACAGACCCCTATACTAATACTGCCACACTGATAGTAGAAAGGGCCTGTATTATTTTTCCCTTTTCCCCTGAGGTCCACTTATAGGGTTGTTCTTCAGGACAGTAATTGCACCTGGTCCTGGACTACACTGCATTCTGAACTGAGATCCTCCATTGAAAATAAAATGTAGCACAGGACTTAATTTCTGACAAGGAATCTCATGTTTGTTTTTACATGACAATTTCCCCAGCCTCTCTTTATCCATTAAAAGGAAAAGACTTTACCTTTAAGACTTTTATATTTGCATTGACCTTTGTTCTGATTGGCTGTTTGTATTGCTCCCCATTTAAAAAGTACCATTGTTGGATTACACAACTGCTTTGTTTCATCAAAACACCTATAGAAATTCATTTGGGACATCAGCGAGCTTATTTTCATACTGCAGCCTTCTGCAATATCAATTTTACATAGGCTATATTGCAATAATATTTAACAAGTGCTGTATTGTGCAGCTGTAGGCATGTAGTCATTGTTAGATTATAAATGTGTTCACCTTTATTTATTTGTATGTTTGAGTCATCAA